ATATCACATCATGTTATGAACAATAATAACCAGCAAATAGGCAGTAGGTATACTGACTAAAACTAAAAATTGAAACAATTTAAAACTTTGCTAATTTTCTGACTAATCAAAACTAGTACCACTTACAAGATCTTTGAGTAGATAGTATAAAAATGGAAACTTGGTTACAAAGTAAATATAATGCTGGGGGTGGTGTTTCCAAGTACAATGTATTTCCTAGTTTCTACTGAAGGCTAAATCTTCATTACAAGCAAGTCAACTCAAAGAAGAAAAACAGTTTTGTAGCCTTCATGTTTAAGAAAAATATACTTTTATCATTATCAAATGAAATGTCTGCCAATGAACTAAACCTTTCCTTACCTCCCCACCAGCAAGTTCCCGTTTGCCTAATAATCTAGACTCCACAGGGCAGTGATGCGTGTGGAAGCTGCAGCTCTTACTCTTACAGGTGATACTCACTGGCCTGCTGATAGTCATAAGAGTTCTAAATGGCTAAGAACGAAGAGGACGTTGTACTGGGTTACATCATAGACCAGCGATAGAAAACCAAGACCTAAGAAGGTGGAAGGAAGGGAGTCTTAATTTGTGAAGACACAGGCCAACAGGTAATTGACGTGAGAGAGAATCAGACAGTGTTGGGCTACAATCTACTGCACGAAAGCCTTTTCATTCTCAATAGTCAGAGGAAAGGCTTTATTTTAAAAATATAGAAAGCTAATAAAAAATATCCCTTAAGCCTTTCTGCATGTCTTTGCTATTTTACCTCAAGAACCAAATAATACATAAACAACAACTCTGCAGTTTCTTGGGGCCAGCACGAACAAAAAGCTGGGAGAGCACTTCTGTAATGCCAGCCCAGCTGAAAGGCACCAAGGCTGGGCACAGACCTGGTATCTACAGGGTTTCTGCTCCTAAGTTAGTGAAGCCAATCCCATGAAGTCCAGGGGCTACTTATCACATTAGCCAAAATCAAAAAACAAACAAACAATAATATTAATCACCTGATTTGGAGGTTTGATTTTATTTTGCAATGTAAGAGCTTAGCTTGCAAAGGGGGAATGGATTGTAAAGCACAAGTTTTAGAAATATTGTTCAGTTGTAATGGAAAACGTGTCTCTCCCAAGTACTGTCTTTAATTTCTGAAATAGAAATAAAGTAATACAAATCTGGATGGATACCTGTATCCACTGAATTATTCCTTTCTTACTCAGATCTGAATGTAATGACCTATAAGTCTGTTATGAGCATATGAAAATACTCCTGAAATACACCTGAAGTTGGTAAAGTTCAAATCCATTTGTGTTTGAACACAACCTAAAGACATTGAAGAAAACAACAGTATGACAGAAGAACATCGGCTTCAAGAAAAAAAAGGTGTAACTCTGTGAAGAAGAAATAGAGTAACTGACCTTTTTAATATTTAGGTCGGGTAGTGATGGCACATGCCTTTGATCCCAGCACTCCACAGTCAGAGGCAGGTGGATCTCTGCGAGTTTGAGGCCAGCCTGATCTAAATAGTAAGTTCCTAGACAACCAGAGCTAGAGGGGAGAATAATACTTAACTGATGTCTTTTCTATTTGTTCAATAAAGAAAGCAGATGTGTAAGCTGGTTACTGTATTTGAGTATGGCTAGCATTAGGTACCAAAGGCACAGCCACTGGTATGCTTAAACAGCATTTAGGAGGGGAGAGTAAGGTGTATGATTCTAGAATTCAAATGTTTCTTGTCTCCTGATAACTAACACCTTTATCTCTTTGTCTTGGGGTTTCTATTGATTGTTTATCTCTTTGTCTTGGGGTTTCTATTGTGCTACACAACTAAAAACAACCTGGGGAGAAAAGGGTTTATTTCATGCTACAAGTGTCAAGTCACAATCCATCACTGAGGGAAGTCAAGGCAAAACTTAAGTCAGGAACTGAAGCAGAGCCCATAGAGGAACACTGCTAACTGGCTTGCTTCTCTTATAGCACCCAGGACCACCAAACCAAGGGTGGCACTGTCCACAGTGAGCTGGGCCCTCCCATATCGATCATCAAGCAAGAACTGAGTTCTAACCTACTGATGTCAATAGTAGTAAAATTGCAGAACTAATCCTTTCCTGCAACCAGCTGGACAAAAAACTCTTAGGATGCATTGATCATTAAGCCACTTCTGTATTCTATTGAAAAGACAGGTATTAATATCAATACAGGCTGCTACAGATACATGTTCAAGTAATCAATACTATTCTCTAAACAGCAGGGGCAACTCAGCCTCATCATCCATTCTATTGTGAGAAGTATGAAGCAAATTTATCAAGAGGCGAAAGGCAATCGCTAAACCTAAATCAAGTCCAGATGATAGTTAACCGCCATATCTATTCCCACTGTACATTCCGTTCAGTATTACATCCATCCTTCCTTCCTTCTTTTTTTTTTCTTTTCTCAAGACAGGATTTCTCTGTGTAGTCCCGGAGCTCACTCAGTAGACCAAGCTGGCCTCGAACTCAGAGATCTACCTGCCTCTGCCTCCCAAGTGCTGGGATTAAAGGTGTGTGCCACCACCACCCAGCTAAGCCTTTCTTCAGAACAAGGCCATCCTTATTCCTGTAGACCATCTCTACTAAGCTACACAAAACACTAAAGGAACTTAAATCAGCACTGACTCTCAAGAATGCTGACTCAGTCAGCAAAAGTTCTTATTCTTGCAACTTTGCATTTTCCCCTTACAATATATTTATCCAAACATAAATTAAGATCTTGGTACAATGTTTCCAAATATGAAATGTATTGCAAGACAATCATTAAGAATTACATCTACTAAATTTAATTCAGTAGTTATATACATCTTGATTGGCTTTGAAAATTATAAACTCAAGTTCCAGTTGCTTTTGGGATACTATCTTACAAGGACTCCAATGTACAGTATGGCTCATTAAGGAAGGGAATGGCTCAGTTGCCTTTAGCCTACTGGCTATGGGTGAGATAGGACTTCTGTTGGTCTTTTCTGTATCGAACACACAGATTGCAAGCCCAGTGCCACGATTGAGCCTGTATGATAATGAGTCTTCAGAGACGGGTAATGCTTGGGCGGCACTCACCAACCTAAGACAGAGCACCTGTGTGGCCTGGGCAGTCGTCTCCATGACGGGTAAGGTGACCTGCTGACGTCCCACATAACCCAAGTCAGAAGCTCATTTTTTAATAAAAGGGGGACCTGTAGGGCCCTGGCCGCGTTTTGGGTAACTGTTGCCTTGCTTGCTGACCTTGACCTTGATATTCTCCTTATGCTAATTCCCTGCCGGGTTTCACCCTTCTGAATGCTTAACGGAAGTTCCTTGTCTGTGTATCCTGAATAATGGGTGTTACCAGCTTAGATGCAAGATTGTAAAATATCAGTAGCGAACTTCTGCCCTCTGGGGTCCTCCCATTGTGCTGTAAGCCTGTATTTAATATATATTTATATATTATATATAATTCAATGAATACTGCAAATGTAATCTACGAATACCACAAATGTGATTAATATCATACGTGTAATTAATGAATATCATGAGTGTAATTTAAAAAAAATAATTAAAATACTAAAAAAAAGAATTGTATCTCTACTAGTGAGCATCTTAAGACTGGTGCTACACTCTGGTATCAATAAAGTCCTTTTGTCTCTTCATCTAGGAATTGTTACTCTCTAAACTAAAATATGAGAAGAGCTATAAGCACAAAGATCGTCTATACTTTTAAGCAGGTAGAAAAAAACTTAAAATCAGCGTACGTAACAAAACCCCACTTACACAACTCTGTAGAACTCTAAGTTATCCTTCCACTTATAGTTAAGGGTGACTATAGCTATATTTTTAACTCTTTATTGAGAAACAAACAGAGTTGTCCTATGTCCACAAATGGTGGTTCCAAAAGAGCCATCAGACACCAAAATCTGTCGATGCTCAAAGTCTCTTATGGAAAATGATGCCATATTTGCAAATAATATGCAAAAAAAGCATGTGTAAATCATGAGAATAAATACTACAAGGTCTTACATAAAGGACATGACTATCTCTAGATCTGGCTGTAACTGTATGTGTACCTAAGGTGAAGAAAATCAGTTAAAAAGTCAGAATTTGAAAATCTCACATTCCTATTGTTTATGTTACAGGGGTCCTCTGACATCTCAAGTTTTCAGGGTTTTCTGTTTTCCTGCTTCTATAATTTAACCCAGTATTTTCTAAATTTCAGTTAGGCAGATCTGTACCTTTCTTATAAAAGTTATTTACAATTATTTTTGTTTTTAGCATCTATTTAAGATTCTTCTCTAACATTTTAATTAAATTTAGCACTCACTGTCTCTCATTCTCTGTCTCTCTGTCTCTCTGTCTCTCTGTCTCTCTCTCTCTCTCTCTCTCTCTCTCTCATTCTCTCTCTCTCTCACACACACACTGACACACACACACACAGTGACACATCATCTATGTAGCGGTCAGAGAACAGCTTGTGGAAGTCAGTCTCTGCTAACATGTGAGTCCTGGAGACCACACTCAGGTCATCAGACTTGGCAGCAAGCACTTGGACCCGCTAAGCCACCTCACTCACCTCTTCCTTGGCTTTTTTAGCAGCAGGTTTGAAGCTATTCTACTTAAGCTTAGTTTCATTCTGCTGCATATTTATGTGTTCAATGCTAAAACTGGCAATTCTGTACTTAGTTGCTGATTTTTTTTTTTTTTTTGGTTTTTCGAGACAGGGTTTCTCTGTGTAGTTTTGCGCCTTTCCTGGAACTCACTTGGTAGCCCAAGCTGGCCTCGAACTCACAGAGATCCGCCTGGCTCTGCCTCCCGAGTGCTGGGATTAAAGGCGTGCGCCACCACCGCCCGGCTTAGTTGCTGATTTTAAAACAGTTTTTACTTTTCTTTCAGTTAAAAATGAATTAAATATAGTCTATGTGTGACTATCAGCTACTCTGAAACTGCTGATTAAGTCATAATGATACTGCATTGTCTAAGTTAGTTACCCTGTAATATAATCCATGGGCATACATGTACCAGTTATCTTAATAAAAATCTTTATATAGGGACTCAATATTGGAATATACTTACCAGGATGATTGGAAATAGGAGGCTGGAATGCAAGCTCATTGTGAACTGGCCCTAAAGAAAATATAATAAAAATCCCATTTTACTTATTAAAAGTTTTCCCCAGCATCAAAACTTTTAATAAACTTCAAATATAAATATCATAAGCCTTAAGACTTGTTTAGATCAAGTTTATGCCATGTCCAAGAATTTAAAAGCTTCTTTCCTGAATTTTTTGTGATACTAATAGCTAACTTTTAAGTGATATCTGACAAATGCTATTTATCAGTTTACAAAGTTATACATGCAATACTTAATGCAAATTATAAATTAATTATTCATGTAACATATTAGTATAATTTATAATGTAATGCATAATGACTTAAATTGCCGATCTTTTCTAAAAATAAGTGCTTATATTTATTCAATTAGGGACATTTATATAATGGACCAATAACTCATAATTGAAAGCTTATTTGTTAACACATTATGCTAAATCCCTCACAGAATTACCACATTCACTTCTTACAATGTTGTTACAGGCAGATAAAATTACAACCCTTGAGGCTTAGTAAGTTTAAATAAGTGACCAGTGATCATAGAGCAAACCCAATACCCTACACACTGGTCCAGGTAGCCATTAGAAATCATATTCTCTGAACACCTGGAAAGAGTAATGTAACTGATACATAACAATATGCATATAGCAAGGCCCTCCCCCATATATACCTATCACACACACAAACACACACACACCCATTGTATGACTGGAAGGAAATACTACTAGGAGTGAGTTTGTCTGGGTTACTCAAGATTGTAAGTAGTTTTATTATTTATGTCTTTTGTACTTTTCCAGTATCTTTGATACTATTAATCTTAAAATGAAAGGAAAGGATTTTGTATTTATGGAAAATATGTATTTCTGATTTTTTTTCTTCATCCCTATATTCATGATTTTAAAATCAAATGAAGAATGTTCCTATTCTATCTGAAACTGGACTGTCTGTAGGGTACTCTTCCCAATCACACCTATATGGAGTATTAATAGATTCAACACCTAAGTATTTATAGTATCTATTGCATTGATTCTATGGTGAGGAAAACCTTGAGATCATATTACTCAAGGGCTTCAGTCGACTGTGGGTGGGTAACACACGAAACCTAAAAACACATGTAAAGCAAACAAAGGAATGGAAATCAATGTGGTGTTGATGAACCATCAGCAACAGAGAAATGAATGTACTTAGTGAACATCAGTGCAGAACAAAGGTATGATAAGTATTGAAAGGAACTGTTTACAAAAAAAAATACTGAAAAAGTAAAACGCACTAATTATTTAATGAAATTAAATTGTAAGATGAATAAAAGATGCAAAACCATTTATTATGAAAACAGAAATCAAAGTCCTGGCTAGAAAAGAAAAAGGCCCTGCTTACAATGAAAACGAGAGCTTACAGTAATGTCCAGGATGGGGCGGCATAGGCGGGTGGTGCTGAAGATGGCCGTTTTGGTGGTGAGGCAAATTAGGTGTGTATGGTGCGGTCCTACTTCCAGTCCAGGTGGTAGTGCTGTCTAAAAATTAAGGCCCATATGCATTAATTTGCTTTTAGAAAGGCTGCCTGGTTTTTCTCAACTACTTAAGATGTTAAAAAGCGTGTACATACTATGATGGTAAGTAGCTGGCTGACCAGTAAATCCATTCTGCTGCTGTCCTGGCTGAGGCCCTGAAGCTATCTGCAACAGTCCTTCACTATGGCTGCCTGCCAGAATACTGGCCGGCTGACCTAGAGAAACAAGAAGACATTAACATGGCACACGTATAGATGCAATTTTATGCTTTTATACAAAAATGATGGTCTAATTATGTCTGGTAATCCACAATTATAAAGGTGGGCCAAAAGTGGAACTCACCCATTGCCTATCAAATAAAAAAGCTAAAAGCATTTATAAAGGAAATTATCCAAAATGTCCTTTCTTGAGAAATGTTTTCCAGGAGCTGGAGAGTAGCTCAGTGGGTAAGAGCACTGGCTGCTCTTCCAGAGGACCCGGGTTTGATTCCCATCACCCACATGGCAGCTCACAACCATCTGTACTCCAGTTTCAGGGAATCTGATGCCCTCACACAGGCATACATACATACAGGTAAAACACCAATGCACATGAAATGAAATTTTAAAAAAAAAATGTTTTCTAACATTAGTGGCCTATTTCTTCACAGACCTCTTCAAATGCTAAGAAACACTCTACAGGTCTAGGCTTCACAACAGCTTTAGAAGCACCAGTTTGACCCCCAGGCACTTCACCCAGATCACTCTGGACCAACAGATTGGTGCTGGTAAGGCAGGACAATGGCGGTCAACAACAACAAACACAGGAGGCAAGGGTTGTCAATGGAAGAGGATGGCAAAGGTGGGAAAGTTCATGTCAAACAAAACAACCTTCACTGCCAACCAAAGCAGCATTTGGTAAAACAAGAAACTGTTTATCAATTTTGAAACTTTTCATGTCCTTTTTAAAAACTCAAAATCATGTCAAGAATGTCACTGTATGCCCAGATTTGCATTAAATCAGTTCAGTTGCCCCCTCTGTAATATGCCAAGAAAATGGTTTCCTTTGGCTCCAATTCTGCTCAAAATATATTCCATTATGTTTTATTATCTGCCACTTATAGGTTTTATTTTGTCAGTGGAAAAGGCTATTTCTTAAAGCAAGCATTAGGTCATGTTTCTCCCATTTGCTGTTATTTGTCACTGACACTGCTTTTCTTTTCTCATAAATGGAAGGCAATCAGATAGATAAAGAAACTAAGTCACCACAATCTCCACAAGAGAAGGGATTTGCCAGGCACAGCGGTATGGCTACAATCGGAGCAGGAAGAAGCCTAAGCAAGAGGAACTCAAGGCCAGCTGGGCTATAAGACTCTTGTCTCAACAAAAACAAAAACAAAGAACATTTCTCCTCCCTACATAGCACAATTCCTTAAAACTAGGACCTGCAAAACCACTGCAAACTCATCACACTGAGAATTACCACCACAGACTCAAGAGTCTAAGATGTTAACAATGTAAAACCAGTTCATGTAAAATAGCCTTCCCATTCCTCTATTTTAATCTAATTTGTTTTCATTCCTTTAACTCTATCAATATATCTTTTTAGAAATACGGAAACATTTCACCGCAAGTTCTAAAAGCTACAGTATTTATATTTCAATTATAAAAATCTACTTTAACAAGTATTAAGACAGAATTGGATATATTTCATTCACATCTTTTTCTGGCCTTCAAGCACACTCTTCCTGCAGGGAGGGGAGGAAAAAGTCAAAATGAAGTCACTTTGGAAATCACTGAACAAAGCTCACTCTCCAGAGAATGTAAAACCAAAATGCGTGCCTGGGCCCAGCAGTAATCTACATCTAAGTGGAGTATCTATTTTACTTTCCATTTCCATCATTTCTGTCAACCATACTCCAAAGGAGCAAATAAAAAGACGGGAAGCCAGAGATGCAAGGTAGGTGTCAGGCTGCACACATGTAATCCCAGCATTTCAGAGGCTCAAACAAGGAAATCAGGGCCAAAGCCAGCCTGGTTTATGGAGTGAAATCTTGTCTCAACCCCACCCCCAAAATCTATATACATACACATCTCTGTCAAATGTACACAAATTATCTGTGCTAAGATTATGACCACTGAAAAAGACTGCTTTCAAGTGGTAAAATGGACTAATGAGAAATTCTGAAAACAATTACAGGGGCCAGGCACACAGTTCAGTGCAAAGTGCTTGCCTATCATGGATGACATACTGGCTTGGATACCCAGCACTAGAGGAAGGGTCAGGGGTGGAAGCAAAAAAATTTCAGACATAAATCTCCTATTTATCCCAAATTTTAATGTTGAGTTTAAACTGATACTAACAGAAACTACATTGTTAGGTAGTGACAAATATCAATCTTTATCAGTCAACAATCTCTTGACAATATAGGTTTAAAAACAATGCTCTTAGTAAAATGAATTAATAATATTCACATGCTCTGTAACATTTAAATTTAAAAATAAGAGTAATAATTAGGGGCTAGGAAGATGTCTCAGTGGGTAAAGCACTTGCCCTGCAAACACACAGAGCTCAATTCTATCCCCTGAACCCACATAAAGCTGGACAGACACAACAGTGTGACCCTGTAACTCCTCCTATGAGATGGAGGTAGAGACAAGAGCCCCGAGCCCACCAGCCAGCTAGCCCGGCATACGCCGTACGCAGCTGCAAACAGCCAGACTGACCAACAAGCTGGACAGGAAGGACCAACACCAGCAGCTGTCCTGACTTCTGCATTATACCACAGCACACACCCATCACACACTCACATTCCTTTTCGTTTGTTTTTTTAATTAAACAAAAAAATTACTCTACTATGCAAAGCAGGAAGCTGTTCAACTTTTGAACAATACAATACAAACAAAACCCGATCACACTTTCTTTATTAGGCTCCCAGAAAAGCTGAGCCTGGGCTGGGGGGTTCACCTAACACAGGAGAGATCCTAGTTTCCATTGATATGACCAAGAAACAGAGACAGGAAGAAGGAAGAAAACAGAACAGAACACAGACTGAGAACCTCCTATGACATGGTAGGAAAGTCTTTACCACAAGAATCCTTTTCAAAGATGTGTTAGCTTTATATTGAAACTGGTTAAAATACTTGATGCCTACCTGGGGCAGTAATATTTAAAGTTATTAGTATTTTAAATGAGTATTAAAATAAATACTAAAGTCTGTTTAAAAGCCCTTTTTCCTAGTAGTCACAACAGGAAATTGAGAAAACTACTATAAAGTTACCCTCTCAGACAAAATAATGGACTAAAAGAAGGCTTCACAGGGCAGCAGTGACACACCCTTTAATCCCAGCACTCAGGAGGCAGAGCCAGGCGGATCTCTGTGAGTTCAAGGCCAGCCTGGTGTACAGAGTGAGATCCAGGACAGGCACCAAAACTACACGGAGAAACCCTGTTTCGAAAAACCAAAAATAAAAAAAAGAAAGGTTTCAATTGCACAAACTTTTAAAAACATCTTGGTTCAAGGCTGTGTGCTGGGCCAGTGAGATGGCTTACTCAATAGGGGAAGTAACCTGAGTTTGATACCTAGAACCCATGTAAAGATGGAAGGAGAGAAATGACTGCACAAAGCTGTCCTCTGACCTCAACAAACACACCACGCCCACATGTGCGCACACATACAATTACACACTCACACATATGATAATTAAAAAATTACTTGTTAACTACTTAAATATGTCTTTAAAATCTATCTGAAAAATACAAGAATTTTCTTACTTATGCATGTAATAGTAAATAACATACTTCAATTTGAGATTATAATCAGTCATAACATTTGACTGCCTATCAACATAGGAAACTTTAAAGAAATTACAAACACCATTTTCTCCACAATGAACTCAAATACCAATTTAACATCTTTTCTCCTACAGGCTGAGTGGTATGGCTCAGAAGTGAGAGTTCACCTAGTATGCACCTGGCCCCGGTACCATACCCAGCACCAGAAAGACCACAACAGCTTCAATTTTTACTTATTTGAGGTTTCTCCAAGTGACTACACGTAAATATTCAATAGTTAGGAAAACTTACGACTACATTGGACTGCATAACTCACTTGTGGAAGCCACAGGAATGTTGGGGAAGTTGGTGGTACTGGTAGCATTAGACTCAGATGGGGCTAACAGAGCTGGGGCGCTGTATGTCTCCGTTGATGCACGATTACTTGGTGGATGTTGGATGGTTTGAATTGAATGTCCTTCAGTGGGTAAGGATGGCTGCCCCTCAAAGTCATGAACATATTCATCCTTCACTAACATACTTGGTGGAGCTATGCATTAAAAAAAACAAAACAAAACACATTTATACATTTTATACTCTTCCATTTCCACAAAGACTATATACAAATAATGACAGCATCTAAAATCAACAATAAATAATTTAAATTCAGAAATTTTTCATACAGAAAAGCATACATTTTATTAGCTATAGCTACTTGAGAGTTTTTAAAATCAATTTGACTCACTAAAATTTGAAAAGATATTCTTCAGTTTCTGACAAACCCAGAAGTACATAATCATCTACACAGGTAAAAACCAAACGCCGAGCAAAACTCACACAGTTGTGAAGACCACTTACTCCTCAAGGCAGACTGAGCATGGATCCTTAGCTCTGCCCTTCTGAACTTTACAACGTAGAGATAGAAGTGGGATCTGAAAGGGACTCAGTGCCAAGACCTGGAATTATTTAACTTATTATTTGAAATTGCTGTCCTGAAATGTCCCTTTAAAAAGTCAAATTGAACCCAAATGTAGGGTGTTTGCCTGTAATTCAGCATTCAGAAGGCAGGCCAGGAAGATCACAAGTCATCAAACTGGAATTTTCTTTTTGGAATCCCAATCTACATAAAAATGTTTGATGAGAAACTCAATAATTGAAATCTTCCACAGTATAAGGAACAAATCTAGAGTCTAGGTCATGTAAAGTAGTATCTTTAATAAACTTAAGGTCGATTTGCTCTGCTTTATTTTTTTTTAAATGAAACCGAACTGTATTCCTGCCAGTTCTCTGTTTAGAACCTTCTCATGTAGTCTTGACCCACTGTTTTGGGTTCTGCTGTCTATTTTTAATAAAAATCATCCTTTACTTTTATGAATTAATACTTTTAGGTAACTACTTTATAAAGTTTCACAATCACCTGAATCTAATATTAGGCATCTTCTTAGAGCTAACAAGTAAAGGCCACAAAGACATTCTCTTCAATTGAAAAATTAGGGTGTCACTTTCCTCTACCAGTAGAAATGTTGTTAACTGATTTTACTCTCATTTACAGTGGCTGCCCCTTAAGCAACAACTGTCCTAACCAGAGATCGCAACTCTCCTGCTACCGCAGCAGCTTGGCTGAAGGGCCACAGGGGATTCTGTTCCCGCAGGCACTGTCTCTTTCAAAGCTACTAAGGGAAACTTTATCTAGATCTCTATCCCTCTAAAGAACTCACAATTCAAAGGTTGAAGCGGAATTCTGCTCTCTCGGAGAGGCTGAATAGCAAGTAACTAACCTTCTCCCATTGTTGGTGTCTTCCAAATAACCCAGCGTCCTTCTCTCAGTCCCCTTAAAAACCCTTGCTACACCTGGTTCCTCCCTACCACTTCCTGTCAGCTACTTGCTGACTCAGCCTCCTGCTCACAGGTTAATTTTATTTAACCAAACACATCTTTGAACTGTTAACAAAATCAGTAAGGAAAATGCAACACACTTTAAAATAATATTGCACAAGAAATATTATTCCATATTTGTTCAAGCTTCTGTATACAGCTTCTTTTTTGACTTTTGAAACATGAAAACGTCGATATTTATAAAACTTGTATGTTTCAGTAGGGAGTGGAGAGATGGCTCCGTAGTTAAGAGAGCAGCTTGCTTTACCTAGTTTGGGTCCAGCACCCCATGTCCAAACGCTCATAACCTTCTATTACTCCATCTCCAGGGGACCCAATACACTTCTGACCTCAAGAGCACCAGCACACAAGTGCACAAACCCACACAGAGACAAAAATATATACACAATGAAAAAAATAAAGTAACTTCTATGGGAACCAATACAATAATAAAAAGAAGCTTAACACATTATCATGCTTGCAAGATGTAACTGGTGTAATAGTGGCACAAATGTTTTGATAGTAACTAACCATTTTTTAACTGGATTTAAGGTCCACTCCATGAAACTGAACCCATATCTGACATTGTTAAGGTGGCCAAAACCCTGAGGCTATAGCTCATAGGTTCTAGAGGAAAACTTACTACCATTATTCTGCTGAAAGAACAAAGTAACAAAATACTCGTAAAGGCATACTAATGGCATACTCA